CCAAAAAAACGACCGATAATCGAGTTGGCCTATAAGCAGAATGGACGATAACTGAGGGTCCACTGTATGTCATTGATGTCAGCTAGGCCTGTATACTTTGTACAGTGGACCCTCGAATTTCATAATTAATCCATACCAGAGACTGTGACGAAAGTTGGAATTTATGAATAGCAAAACCATTTTCCCCATAAGAAATAATGTAAATCCAATTAATCCATTCCAGACACCCAAAAGTATTAACAAAAATATTTTTTTTACATTAAAAATAAATTTACATACATACGAAGAAACATCACGTATAAAACAAAAATAACATCACACTAACCTTTATTGAAGACTCTTGTTGGTCTATGGAAGACAGGAGGAGGGGAGAGGATGGAGAAGTTACACTATTGTTTGGAAGGGGAATCCCCTTTCATAAAGACTTTAGGTACCAAGTCCTTATCCAGGGTTACTTCCCTTCTTTGTTTTTTAATGCCACTAGGACCAGCTTAAGAAGCAATGGACCTTTGTTGCTCAAAAAATTGTTCCAGACAGCTCTGTTTCTGGCGTCTCTTTAAAATTTGCCTCAAATGGGACAAGACGTTGTCATTGTACATGTTGACGACACAGCTTGCAACAGCTTTGTCAGGGTGATGTTCCTCCATAAACTTTTGCACCTCACTCCACTTTGCACAAATGTCCTTAAGCTCTGAAGAAGGCATCTTCTTTCATCTCTCTTCCTCCTCCTCCTCTGAAGCATTTTCCTGAGCTGTGGTCTGTTGCTCTTGCAGATGAAGGCCTTGCAGCTCTTCAGTGGTTAGCTCTTCACTGTGGTCCTCCATCAACTCTTCCACTTCCTGACCACTCACATCCAACCCCATGGAATTCCCCAATGCCACAATAGATTCCACAACTGGCATAGGGTTGTCAGGGTCAGCCTCAAACCCTTCAAAATCTTTGTCGAGGACACAATCTTGCCTAATTTTGTCCAAGCAGAATTCAAAGTCCTGGAAGTCACTCCCTGCCGAGCCTTATCTATAATGGAGGATACTGAAGTGATCTTTCCAGAACTCTCTTAGGGTCAACTGAGTGTCTGAGGTCACATCAAAGCACCTTTGAAACACTGCTTTGGTGTAGGGTTTTTTGAAGTTTGAAATAATCTGCTGGTCCATGGGCTGGATGAGAGGAGTGGTATTAGGGAGCAAGAACTTCACTGTGATGAAACTAAACTCCTCCACCATTTAGTCATCCAAGTCTGGAGGATGAGCAGGAGCACTGTCCATTACCAGGAGGCACTTGAGTGGCAATTTTTTTTTTCCAGGAGGTATTTCTTCACACTGGGGCCAAACACTTCATTGAACCAATCAAGGAAAATTTCCCTCCTGACCCATGCCTTACTGTTAGCCTTCCACTCACACACAATTTACTCCTGGTGGCACTGTGTTTCTTGAGCACTCTGGGATTTTCAACATCTTCGAGTATTTGAGATCTCTTTTTCGTGAGCATATCTATCTCATTCACAACAACAGCTTCCTTGATTTCCTTTTTCTTTGCCACAATGGAAGCAATGGTTGTATGGGGCTTCCCATACATCCTGGCAAGATGGGCCACAAGCACGCCACTTTCATATTTTGCAATGATTTCTTATGTTTATGTTTCTCACATTCTTTACCAAATGGCTGGCACTAGAAGCTTTCTTTGGGCCCATAGTGGCTTATTTAGAAGTTGCAAGCACAAAAAAGAATGGAATATTACGAAATGTATCGTATGGACGCGTGGAGTGCTGTTCACTCGCCAATCAACAATGCCACACTGACTGGCAATGGTGTGTGGGGCGCCTTTGTGTGGTGCGAACGCTGGAAGGCCACTCATACACATTCCAGATGAGCGACGAATGTTGAGCCAAATTACGAACCGCGAGGTTATATTCTGACGAAAAAAGTTGTCGAAAGTGAAAATTTACAAAGTGTGAGCCTTACGAAACTCAAGGGTCCACTGTACATGTACTTGTAGAAATAAAGACTATTATTATTATTATTAGATTAAACATACACGTTTGTCTTGGCAGCAGAACCAGTCCCCTAAAATCACATTGGTTTTGTACTAAAGAATGTGGATTTAAGCTGATTTTTATAAATAGGCCATTTTAGGCTTAGTCAAAATTAACCAATTATAACATTACACAAATACTACATGCAAAAAATCTAAACACAAATACTGATATATTACAACACAAAGGGAGGGGAAGGCCAATGGACTTAACTCATGATACTGTATTAGGGTTGATTAGTTAAGGCCTACTGGAGGATGTACTGTAGGTGGATAAATACAACCCAAACAGCAAAAGATCTTCAGTGAACATTCAGTGATGAAAATTTATAAAAAAGAAAAGCACCTAAGTGGTTTAGGAGAGAACACTAGTACACAAAAGGTGTGACTAAATTGCTGATTATAGAAAAGTGAATACGGTACTGACTTACAGCTACAGAACAGCCTTATACCAATGAAAATTTACTGTGTATCTCCGTCATTTGTATGATATATGAACTTGTAATATACAATGAACTCATCTCAGATGGAAGTGGTTTTGAGAGTAGCAAGTTCAAGATGGTGAGCAATTGCTTAATTTTTTTTACCTTATTAGCTGTCTCCCTTCAAGATAAGGTGACCCAATAAAAAAGGAAAAAACATTTGTCATCATTCATTCAATCACTGTACTGCCAAAAGTGTGCTGGTATCGCAATTCAGATAACCTTCCGACTGTACTATCCCCTCCCCCCTCCTTCAGAGGTCAGGCACTGCCTTTCAAACTTCCAGAACTCAAGTTTAGCTAACCAGTTTTCACTGAATCCACTCATAATTGTTATCTTATTCACACACTAGCATCACCCGTATCTCACATATTCACACAAGCCTGCTGGATACTCTAGTTGCTAGAACTCAAAATCTCCTTAACCTCCCCATCCTTCCTGCTCTAAGTTTTCCCTGACACAATCATTCTTAGGATGACACCTACCCCTCCTTCCTTTCACCCCAGACTTATGCACCGTCTTTGTCAAACTATCCTTCTCCATCTTCTCTAATGCTCAAATCACCTAAACAACTCCTCTTCAGTCCTTTGAATTATACCTATGGTGACTCCATACTCTGAATTCTCTACTTAATACTCACACCAAACAGTGCTCTCAAACATGAGATTTCTACTGCTTCTTGCCTCCTTGCTGCAACATTCAGAGTCCATGCCTTACACTTATATAAGACAAGAGTGCTGGAAATACTTAGATAAACTTTTTTATTTCCACTGATGCCTCAACACACCAGTTGCCTTTTTTTCTTCATCTATTCTATGGTTCACCTCATCTTACTTTTCTGATTTACCAACTCTCAAATATCTAAACACTGTACATCAATTTCCTCCATACTCTCTCCCTCCAATATGATATTCAGTCTTACATCGTCCAAACTTTTTGCTATCCCCATCACCATACTCTTCACTTCGTTCGCTTTTAATTTCCTTCTTTTATATACCCCTTTCAAATTAATTCACCAACTTTTCCAACTTACCTTCCGAATTTCTCTCCTAAAAACAGTCACTGTCAAAGAGTAATTATGACAACTCCTTCTCAGTATCAGATTCATTATTTTTTAAACCCACACCTTTTTCCAACACACTGTCATTCACTTCTTTTACAGCTCCACCTATAAATATGTACAGTAATAACAAAGGTAACATTACACATTCTTGTCCAAGTCTTACTATTACTGGATGGATAACATTTCCCCTCCCTCCTACATATCTTCATCTGAAGTCTCTTTCCATACAAATTCTTGACTGCTTTTAGTAACCTACCATCTCCTTCATATAGTAGCAAAATCTACTACACTGCTCCATGTCTTTTCTAAATTCATAAATTCAACAAACAGCTCCTTACCTTTATCTAAGTACTGTTTCAATGCTTCAGTTTAAGAATTTGGTCCATACATCCCTACCCTTCCTAAATCCTCCTCACTCAACCACAATCCTTTCTTACCCCTAACTCTTGCAATAATAATTCTACTCTACACTTTACCCAGTATACTCAACAAATTTATTCTCCTTTGATTCTTGCATTCTGTTTATTGAGTAAAGCAAAGCACAGGTTATGCGAGCCACTAGTGATGATTAGTTATCCTGATAAGCTTTCTCTAACTGGGCTTAAAACCTATTGACTACTCTAAGGGTCATTAAAGCAACATGTCACCTGTTCACAACCAAACAAAATACATATTTTAATCCCTTAAATAGGGATTAAAGTAAACTCTCAGCATATATACACAGAAACACACACACCTCTAAGAATATATATCCTGTGCCTGACACACTTCTCTCTAGACTGAATTTGTATTACGTTTAACTTAGTTATGCATGTATGTATTAATGTAAAAAAAACTATTATAAAATATATACTGCAGTATTTTTTAATGATTAGTTATTTATATAATTATTTGCACTATATGACTGAAAAATGTTGAAACAATTATATTGCAAAAAATCTCTAAAACAAATTATGGAAAATAGCTGATGTAGGTGCCACAGCCTGAGCTGTAACTGGTGAGTCTACCCCTGAAAAAGAGGGGGATGGGAGATTACGAAGGTGAGTGGTAAGACAACTTCATAGCTTGTGCTATAGAAAAACTGGAAGAGGGGTGCGATACAAGCCATTATAAAAATCCCCTTACAGGAAATGGAAAATGAGATCACACAGTTTGATCTGTAGTGGTTGAATCTTAGCAGTATTAAGGAAATATTTATAAATAAAGACTATACCGAAAATATTAACAAGAGATAGTGCAATACTTAAAAAAAAAAATTAAGAATTTACTGTCAAAAAACAGCAGTATTCACTAATGGGGGCAAAAAAAAAAAATAGTTGAGGAGGGGAAAGCTGCAATATAACAGTGTCCATTGATTCAATCTCTGTTTTGACACAGATCAACTGAAATCTAGGTGTGAAATTTCACATGGAATCGTTTCCTACCGATTCACCCTACTAGGGTGGAAAAATGAAGGGCGAGAGGTAGTTACGTGAGCAGCTTGATGGAGTACTGCCCATGTATTCGTGGGTTCTGCCATCTTCCCTCCCCTGCCCCTCCACAAGTATTTGCAGGGAACCGGGAGGGTGGTGTGTGTGGGGAGACCCAGACAGGTCCTCAACACCTCCATAACGCAGGTCAGCCAGGTGGGTGGGGTTATGTCTCAGCACGTGAAGCAATTGTCTCAGCATGTGAAGAGACATTCCTACAAGCGTAAAAAAACAAATCTTAACAGACTGAAAAATGCTCTAACAGGCAGAAGGATATTTAAAAGCGAGAGAACATATTGCCACTAAACAAAAAATAAATTTTTACGACCTGATAATGCCCCCCCACTTCCTCTCAAGTGTACTCAGGGTTTTATCAATAAGTTTAATAATAAGGTAAATCTGAATGAGCCATTACACTTTCTCTCTGGCTTACTTAGTTTTATCAACAACCTTTACCAATTCAGAGAAAAGATATGTTGATTGTAGTGCCATAACAGCTCTTTCATACAAGTGATCCCAGTCATGAGCACACCAACTTACCCATAAGTTCAACAACACCCAGATTCCAATCTGAATACCATATCTTCATATCTATAAAAACCCAGTTATCTGGCCATGATATAAACTTCGCAGCTGGGTATCTGGCCACAATCCAAACACTACAGCCTTGTATCTGGCCATAATCTCAACATCACAACCTGGTAAGTATCTAGCCACAACTCGAAGACCATGATTGAAACACCATGGCCTGATATCTGCCCATTACTGAAACATTATAACCTAGTATCTCGCTATAATCTTAAGGCAACATCTGGCAACAACAGGGCCTTCCACTGGGTAGGCTCAAGCAAGCACAAGCACAGCCCATCTACATCACTAAGGGTAAAGACGAAGGATGGGGAAAGGTGTAGATGGTGGGATTATTATGGGGATGGGAGGGTTTTGAGGGAGGTAGTATACATGGGGGAAGGGAGGTGTAATAATTTTGCAGAAGGCTATGTAGTGAGGCACTTACCACTGTAGACAGTTCAAGAGGTCAGTGCCCAATACACAACATACAAGGGACACACAATCTCAACATATAATATCTCCCTTTCTTTGTCTTAAATAAAAAAAAGGCTGAGAACTAGGAAAATCTAACATTGTACTGAGTTTTCAAGACTATATTATCCTAACCCTTAAATCTAATCTCAAAACTACAACATACATAAGGGGGTCAGCACTGTATGACCCTGGTGGGTTTAGTGCTTTTTATAATAATGATAACAATAACACAACAATAATAATAATAATAATAATAATAATAATAATAATAATAATAATAATAATAATAATAATAATAATAATAATGCATAAGGAGGGACCACCCCTTGGCTGTTTTCAAGAGGGAACACGATATTATAATTATAGTCACAACTAAGCGCTAAACCCAAAGGGTCATACAGAGGGAACTCAATAGATTCCTGAAAACAGCTCCTGATCAGATGGACTGTGGTACATACTGTGAGCAGCAGACACACAATCTGATTGATCAGACCAGCAACCAGGAGGCCTCGTCTGGGACCAAGCCACGGGGATCGTGACCCCTGGAAGTGACTACAGATAAACTCTTCCCTTGAAAGGTGGGACTATCCAGAGTGACTGGAACACAGCATCCTCCTTGAAGGATAGAACCGTCCAGACTGACTGGAACACAGCACCCTCCTTAAAGGATAGAACCGTCCAGACTGACTGGAACACAGCACCCTCCTTAAAGGATAGAACCGTTCAGACTCTGGAACATAGCGCCCTCCTGGAAGGGTTGGACTGTCCAGACTGACTGCAACACAGCATCCTCCTTAAAGGATAGAACTGTCCAGACTGACTGGAACACAGCATCATTGAAGGATAGAACTGTCCAGACTGACTGGAACACAGGACCCTCCTTGAAGAGTTGGTCTGTCCAGACTGACTGGAACATAGGACCGTCCTTGAAGGGTTGGACTGTCCAGACTGACTGGAACACACCATCCTCCTTGAAGGGTTGGACTGTCCAGACTGACTGGAACACACCATCATCCTTGAAGGGTTGGACTGTCCAGACTGACTGGAACACACCATCCTCCTTGAAGGGTTGGACTGTCCAGACTGACTGGAACACACCATCCTCCTTGAAGGGTTGGACTGTCCAGACTGACTGGAACACATCATCTTCCTTAAAGTGTTGGACTGTCCAGACTGACTGGAACACACCATCCTCCTTCAAGGGTTGGACTGTCCAGACTGACTGGAACACGGCCGAGGATCAACACAGAAAACGAGGTAGAGTGCTGGGGGAGACTGGTAAATCTCACCACACAACACAATGCTGCTCATCCATAAATCCTTATCTCAACCCCATAACTTATCCACGCCACAGCAATTACGCTCTACACACCCCCGCCCTCGCCAACACAACAAGAGGAGACCTGCTGCGTTACATTTTAAGAGTTATATTTTTCCCTAACACCCATTACTGTATTTACACCCGAGCTGGTAATTTTATTTAATGGAGATTGGATTTGCTCTCTTGTTAATGTCTAGCGTTGGTCGATACCAGAGAAACACAGTATTCATTAATAGCCTAATTACGGTAAGAAAGCTAATCACTATTTAAAGAGCAAAGATACAAGACAGCAAAAACTTATTTACATAAATTATAATTTGGTGTAAAAGAAAAAAAAAAAGAAAGTGGTTAAATATCAATAAGTGAGTCTGCCCTAGCCCGAGGAGCCCCGAGTCCCGTTTTCTCTTAATTGTCCCGCGAAGCTGGTAATGGCGCCTCATTTGCATTCCATCAAGCCGCCAGTCATATCAGGGCAAGAGGAGGCTATATCCCCTCCCCTAACCTCCTCATCCACCTCCCCAGCTCCTGGCCTCTTGCTTATCCTCCTCATTTTCTTCTTGCATGGGAATTTCCACTACGAATTTAATACTTCCTTCACCATTACCAACAAACCTCTGGCTGTCTTCAAGAGGCAAGTTGACAGCTTCAAGTCAGTGCCTGACCAACCGGGCTCTGGTGCATATGTTGGACTACATGCATCCAGCAGCAACAGCTTGGTTGATCAAGCCTTGATCCACCACCGCAGGGGCGCTGGCCCCTCAGGAAGCATCCTACAAGTTGTTCTTATCTCTCTCAAGAAAGTACGAAACTCCTGGTAAGTTAAGGCTCTTCATCCAAGGACTGGAACTCACACTCCATATTTTGGGATCAAACCTGATTACTCCTTTCCACTAACATTCCCCAGACAAACTATAACCCCTTACGGGTTAGCACTTTCCCCTGGAGAATAATGAAATGTCTGAAGAAGACAGAATACCATTAAAGCCCGCAGTCCAAGGTATGTACCAACAACCTGACTGCTCAGGAAATGACTTAAGGAACTTACCAATATCTTCCTGGCTGTCGAAATATCAAGGAGTGACTTGAATGAGGCAGGGATGGAGTCAAACTCAATACACAGCTTCACGTGAAGATATGATAAGGCCCAAGAGGCCAGAAATCAGTTATGTCCACCAAAGTAGCCTGGGAAGCGGGGGCTAAGAGCTGAGTCTCGACCCCTGCAAACTCGATGAATATACACCACATCAACATTACACTTCGTATTCAACAGAGATGGAAAGAAAATACGTCAAGTTTAGGCAGACACCACCACAAAAAAAGTGAACATAGCATAAAGGTAAACTTGAAGCATTAAAGTAGACCCAGAGGTACGCTGGAACCCCTTTTAACGGTATTGAACATGGCCGTCGAGGTATTAAATCCCACGATAACATACAGGTTTGGGGCCTCTGACTCAAGGCATGGAAAGAAAGATTTGGAAAAAACAAAGAAATTTCATTCGTTTCTTTTATCTCTGACATAAAATAACGCTGCATAAAAAAGTAGAATTGAAGATAACGTATATTTATTCGTTAATAATGTAAATATAATCTTTTCACTGGCGTGATATACATAACATTAAGATACCATACATGGTGAGTGTATAAACTGAGGGAGGCGAGTTCTACAACATGGCGAAGTTGTATTTCCTGTAGCAACAAGTCTACCCTCTCCCTCCCGTATGTACCCCAGCCAGGACCCCCTGGTATGTATATCTAGCAGGTCCTCCAGTCTGTACCCCAGCCAGGACCTCTGGTATGTATGTCTAGCAGGTCCTCCAGTCTGTACCCCAGCCAGGACCCCTGGTATGTATGTCTAGCAGGTCCTCCAGTCTGTACCCCAGCCAGGACCCCTGGTATGTATGTCTAGCAGGTCCCCCAGTGTGTACCCCATACAGGACCCCTGGTATGTATGTCTAGCAGGTCCCACAAACTGTACCCTTGTCAGGACCTCTGGTATGTCTAGCAGGTCCCCCCACTCTGTACCCCAGCCTGGACCCCTGGTATGTACATCAAGCAGGGTTCCCAGATTGGCTCCCATTGCATACCCATCATATAACCCCATTATGTATCCCAAGGCGACCCATTTTGTACTCCATAAGTCCTCACACTCCTCAAAACGACCCTAGCTGGATGCCCAGTACAGAACACCAAGAGGAGCAACAGGCGTGCACAAGAAAGCAGAGTATTACCTGTGGGAGATGACCAAGCACCACCCGACACCTTCCCCGGCAACTCACCTGAAAGCAATAAAAAAAGATATGATTAATTTCCCCCATCAATAATAAACGCGGGGAAGATGTTAATAGATAAACTGTCTATCTTCGACATCCTGTGTGTGGGCTCTACTACCTTCAACAAGGAAGACTCGATTCCACTAACATGGAACTTGACCGTGTTGAAATAGTCTGCATGTAGAACGTGAAATAAATAATAATAATAATAATAATAATAATAATAATAATAATAATAATAATAATAATAATAATAATAATAATAATAATAATAATAATAATAATAATAATAAATAATAATAATAATAATAATAATAATAATAATAATAATAATAATAATAATAATAGTAGTAGTAGTAGTACTAGTGGTAGTAGTAGTAGTAGTAGTAAATTTATTTCTGTTCTGCAGTATACAGGAAAATATAGTTTACACGTAATAAGACAAAAAAAAAAAAAATACCACAGTGAAAATATGAAATATAACCCGAGCGCTTTCATGTGCTTACATACACATCCTCTGAAGATGTGTGTGTGTAAGCAAATGGAAGCACTCTGGTTTTATTTCTTATTTTCACTGTGGTAATTTTTCATATATACAATCACGCGTTTTTCTGCGATTTCTTCCATTTAATAAGATACTGTCAGGCAGCAAAGAAAACCAATAGCATGCCGGGCATTGCAGGCAGACTAATCCTAATGCTTAATGTGGTGTATAAATACCTTTGATGAATTTTGAGGTTCACTATTCTCGGAGCCCGGCCATGGGCCAGGTAAAAATCTAAATTTAGAAAGTAAGAAAGTAGTATTGTAGTTTGACAATAACAGTTGTGGAAGAGTGGGAGAAACTGCTGCGTCATCACTGAGGATATTTGAAAATAGATCAGACATAAACATGGGGGAGAATGAGTGCTCAGTGCCTCCTGCCTCTTATAGTGCTCCGTGGCTCCTGCCTCTATAGTGCTCCGTGGATCCTGCCTCTTATAGTGCTCCGTGGATCCTGCCTCGTATAGTGCTCAGTGGCCCCTGCCTCTTATAGTGCTCAGTGGCTCCTGCCTCTTATAGTGCTCGTGGCTCCTGCCTTTATAGTGCTCCGTGGATCCTGCCTCGTATAGTGCTCAGTGGCCCCTGCCTCTTATAGTGCTCAGTGGCTCCTGCCTCTTATAGTGCTCCGTGGCTCCTGCCTCTTATAGTGCTCCGTGGATCCTGCCTCGTATAGTGCTCAGTGGCCCCTGCCTCTTATAGTGCTCAGTGGCTCCTGCCTCTTATAGTGCTTCGTGGCCCCTGCCTCTTATAGTGCTCCGTGCATGCCTCTATAGTGCTCCAGTGACTCCTGCCTACTATAGTGCCCGTGGCTCCTGCCTCTTATAGTGCTGTGACTCCTGCCTCTTATAGTGTCAGTGGCCTGCTCTATAGTGCTCCGTGGCCCTGCCTTTTAGTGCTCAGTGGCTCCTGCTCACTATGTGTCAGTGGCCCTGCATTTTATAGTGCATCCGTGCTCCTGCTCTTATAGTGCTCGATGGCCTGCCTTTATAGTGTCCGTGGCCCTGCCTCTTATAGTGCTCAGTGGCTCTGCTCATAGTGACTCAGTGGCCCTGCTTTTATAGTGCTCCGTGGCTCCTCCTCTTATAGTGCAGTGGTCCCTGCCATCTATATGCTCGTGCCCTGCTTCTTATGTGCTCAGTGGCTCTCTCATAAGTGCTCAGTGGCCTGCCTCTTATAGTGCTCGTGATCTGCTTAGTATAGTGCTCAGTTGGCTCCTGCCTTTATAGGCTCAGTGCCTGCCTCTATAGTGCTCCGGGCACCTGCCTGCTTATAGTGCTCGGGTGCTCCTGCCTCATAGTGCCAGTGGCTCCTGCCTCTTATAGTGCTCAGTGGCTCCTGCCTCTTATAGTGCTCAGTGGCTCCTGCCTCTATAGTGCTCCAGTGGCCCCTGCCTCTTATAGTGCTCCGTGGTCCTGCCTCTTATAGTGCTCAGTGGCTCCCTGCCTCTTATAGTGCTCAGTGGCTCCTGCCTCTTATAGTGCTCGTGGCTCCTGCCTCTTATAGTGCTCCGTGGCCTGCCTCTATAGTGCTCCATGGCCCCTGCCTCTTATAGTGCTCAGTGGCTCCTGCCTCTTATAGTGCTCCGTGGCTCCTGCCTCTTATAGTGCTCAGTGGCCTCCTGCCTCTATAGTGCTCATGGCCCCTGCCTCTTATAGTGCTCAGTGGCCCTGCCTCTTATAGTGCTCCGTGGCCCCTCTCTTTTGTCCGTGCCCTGCCTCTTATAGTGCTCCAGTGCTCCTGCCTCTTATAGTGCTCCGTGGCTCCTGCCTCTTATAGTGCTCAGTGGCCTCTGCCTCTTATAGTGCTCAGTGGCCCCTGCCTCTTATAGTGCTCAGTGGCCCCTGCCTCTTATAGTGCTCCGTGGCCCCTGCCTCTTATAGTGCTCAGTGGCTCCTGCCTCATAGTGCTCAGTGGCCTCTGCCTCTTATAGTGCTCCGTGGCCCCTGCCTCTTATAGTGCTCAGTGGCTCCTGCCTCTTATAGTGCTCCGTGGCCCCTGCCTCTTATAGTGCTCAGTGGCTCCTGCCTCATAGTGCTCAGTGGCCCCTGCCTCTTATAGTGCTCCGTGGCTCCTGCCTCTTATAGTGCTCAGTGGTCCCTGCCTCTTATAGTGCTCCGTGGCCCCTGCTTCTTATAGTGCTCAGTGGCTCCTGCCTCATAGTGCTCAGTGGCTCCTGCCTCTTATAGTGCTCCGTGGCTCCTGCCTCTTATAGTGCTCAGTGGCTCCTGCCTCTTATAGTGCTCAGTGGCCCCTGCCTCTTATAGTGCTCCGTGGCCCCTGCCTCTTATAGTGCTCAGTGGCTCCTGCCTCATAGTGCTCAGTGGCTCCTGCCTCTTATAGTGCTCCATGGCTCCTGCCTCTTATAGTGCTCAGTGGCCTCTGCCTCTCATAGTGCTCCATGGCCCCTGCCTCTTATAGTGCTCAGTGGCTCCTGCCTCTTATAGTGCTCCGTGGCCCCTGCCTCTTATAGTGCTCAGTAGCTCCTGCCTCTTATAGTGCTCTGTGGCTCCTGCCTCTTATAGTGCTCAGTGGCCTCTGCCTCTTATAGTGCTCCATGGCCCCTGCCTCTTATAGTGCTCAGTAGCTCCTGCCTCTTATAGTGCTCCATGGCTCCTGCCTCTTATAGTGCTCAGTGGCCTCTGCCTCTCATAGTGCTCCATGGCCCCTGCCTCTTATAGTGCTCAGTGGCTCCTGCCTCTTATAGTGCTCCGTGGCCCCTGCCTCTTATAGTGCTCCGTGGCCCCTGCCTCTTATAGTGCTCAGTAGCTCCTGCCTCTTATAGTGCTCCGTGGCTCCTGCCTCTTATAGTGCTCAGTGGCCTCTGCCTCTTATAGTGCTCCGTGGCCCTGCCTCTTATAGGCTCAGTAGCTCCTGCCTCTTATAGTGCTCCGTGGCCCCTGCCTCTTATAGTGCTCAGTGGCTCCTGCCTCATATAGTGCTCAGTGGCCTCTGCCTCTTATAGTGCTCCGTGGCCCCTGCCTCTTATAGTGCTCAGTGGCTCCTGCCTCTTATAGTGCTCCGTGGATCCTGCCTCTTATAGTGCTCCGTGGCTCCTGCCTCTTATAGTGCTCAGTTGCCTCTGCCTCTTATAGTGCTCCGTGGCCCCTGCCTCTTATAGTGCTCAGTGGCTCATGCCTCTTATAGTGCTCAGTGGCTCCTGCCTCTTATAGTGCTCAGTGGCTCCTGCCTCTTATAGTGCTCCGTGGCCCCTGCCTCTTATAGTGCTCAGTGGCTCCTGCCTCATAGTGCTCAGTGGCTCCTACCTCTTATAGTGCTCCGTGGCCCCTGCCTCTTATAGTGCTCAGTGGCTCCTGCCTCATAGTGCTCAGTGGCTCCTGCCTCTTATAGTGCTCAGTGGCTCCTGCCTCAAAGTGCTCCGTGGCCCCTGCCTCTTATAGTGCTCAGTGGCTCCTGCCTCTTATAGTGCTCCATGGCCCCTGCCTCTTAGAGTGCTCCATGGCCCCTGCCTCTTATAGTGCTCCATGGCTCATGCCTCTTATAGTGCTCAGTGGCTCCTGCCTCTTATAGTGCTCAGTGGCCTCTGCCTCTTATAGTGCTCCGTGGCCCCTGCCTCTTATAGTGCTCAGTGGCTCCTGCCTCATAGTGCTCAGTGGCTCCTGCTTCATAGTGCTCAGTGGCCTCTGCCTCTTATAGTGCTCTGTGGCCCCTGCCTCTTATAGTGCTCAGTGGCTCCTGCCTCATAGTGCTCAGTGGCTCCTGCCTCTTATAGTGCTCCGTGGCCCCTGCCTCTTATAGTGCTCAGTGGCTCCTGCCTCATAGTGCTCAGTGGCTCCTGCCTCTTATAGTGCTCAGTGGCTCCTGCCTCATAGTGCTCCGTGGCCCCTGCCTCTTATAGTGCTCAGTGGCTCCTGCCTCTTATAGTGCTCCTTGACCCCTGCCTCTTAGAGTGCTCCGTGGCCCCTGCCTCTTATAGTGCTCCATGGCTCCTGCCTCTTATAGTGCTCAGTGGCCCCTGCCTCTTATAGTGCTCCGTGGCCCCTGCCTCTTATAGTGCTCAGTGGCTCCTGCCTCATAGTGCTACGTGGCCCCTGCCTCTTATAGTGCTCAGTGGCTCCTGCCTCTTATAGTGCTCAGTGGCTCCTGCCTCTTATAGTGCTCAGTGGCTCCTGCCTCTTATAGTGCTCAGTGGCTCCTGCCTCATAGTGCTCCGTGGCCCCTGCCTCTTAGAGTGCTCCGTGGCCCCTGCCTCTTATAGTGCTCAGTGGCTCCTGCCTCTTCTAGTGCTCCGTGGCCCCTGGCTCTTATAGTGTTCCGTGGCCCCTGCCTCTTATAGTGCTCTGTGGCTCCTGCCTCTTATAGTGCTCAGTGGCCCCTGCCTCTTATAGTGCTCCGTGGCTCCTGCCTCTTATAGTGCTCAGTGGCCCCTGCCTCTTATAGTGCTCAGTGGCCCCTGCCTCTTATAGTGCTCCGTGGCTCCTGCCTCTTATAGTGCTCAGTGGCCCCTGCCTCTTATAGTGCTCAGTGGCCCCTGCCTCTTACAGTGCTCCGTGGCCCCTGCCTCTTATAGTGCTCCGTGGCTCCTGCCTCTTATAGTG